CACTTACATTAGGTCTAAAGTAATTGTTTTGGCAAACTTTCACTGTTACTAGAAAGAAAGTAAGCATCTCCAATGGGTGGGAAGAATTACTGTCTGAATACACGTCTTTCTCTCATAGAGTCACAGGATGACTAGCTTACTGCAGGCACCAGAGTCAGGTGAGTTGGATCTCACCTGAAAGGGAACAAAATAGATCAGACAGATAGGATGGAAATGCTGTCTGAGCATTTTTGTTTTGTATAGATTGAGGGGAAAAAATAGAAAATCATACAGAGTCACAGAGCAGGAAGATTTCAGCTATTGGTATGGAAGATAAAGGACTTAAAAGTTTTAGTTTGCTTTAAAGGAAAATAGCTGCTCTTAGAGCTTGTGAGGTGAAAAAAAATAGTAAGTTGTATATAGCTCAGTTCAGAGAGAAAAGGAAAGAAATAGGCAGAAAATATGATGGTTTGTTCAACAGAAAATAAGGGCAATCGAGAAGGTTTCGAAAGGGGCTGAGCTTCAGCTCTGCTATGTTCAAGTTGAGTAGAAAAACAGATAGGGCATGAGGAACAGTATGGCTTTGGTTTCTCACTTTAGGAGGGATGCAAGAACAGTGCAGATTATGTAAAATACAAAGCAGAGAAGAGTAGCAAGTGAAAAACACAGTCCTAAGTAATCCCCAAAGAAAGATGTGGTTATTCTGCAGGAATGACTGCAGAGTCATAAGTTCCTGGAGCAGGAACTTATGTACCTCTCCTCTGTCTGCTTATATTTCCTGATTGTCCCCTTACAGCTCCCTAAGAGTCTCCGTTTCTATTTCCTTGCCACTGACTAGACTTACTGAGCAGAATCAGTGGGGACAGATGTGCCTCTTCCAGGTGAGCACAGAGGACAGTGAAACCACAGGGGGAGTTCAAATTTTGTTAAAAATGTGTGGGCAAACTTTTTAATTTCAATGGAGCAAAAAGCTTTGTAACTTACTGCCTTATTACCAAAAATAAGAACTTTAAACAAGTTAAGAATTACAACATGAGGTTATTGATTGTAATGGAAAAGGGAATTGCTTGTAGGACTGATGAACTCCATTCAAGTATGAAAGATAGACTGTTAGTAGCTACTTGCTATGCTTTTCTTTAAAATGACAACTTAGCTAAGGAACTTAGTGTTTGGGGTCAGTACCCGCATAACATTTCATGTGATTCTTGGAGTGTTCAAACCTTTTTCTGTGCACTTGAAATTTCAACAGTCACTAAGTAGCTACTGATGCCTGCAGCTATAGCTAGATCATATTTTCTTTCTTCAGAAATTTCCTTTTCCCTCCTACAGTTCCTGATCCTGTCCTGGTCATATTTACGTGGCCTCACCTGATGTATGCTCAAGAAGATGAGCCCTGTTGAAAGGACCTGCTCTTGGAGCTGCTCAGGTTTCTGGTGGCCCAGCTCTGCAGTCTGCACTCAAGAAGATTTGAACAAACTTTTTTGTCCCCAGCTACAGACCAAGATGTACAAAGGGAATTTGAAGCCTCAGGTGACAGCCTGATGCCAGTGTGTTGCCCACCTACAGCTACCTGGAGGTGCTGTTGTCTTATAAAGTCCAGAAGAGAGATTTCTCCTAAGCCTGTGTGGTGGCACCAGGCTCTGCAGGTCCCTGTGACCATACACAGTGCGGATGGCTGCTGAAGCCACCTGCAGTCCCTGACTCTGGCAGGCCCCTGTGACAAAGAAGAACCCCAACAGTGTGGTGTACCATGATCCTTGGGAACTTCACATTGCTCAAATAAAGTTATTTTCTTTGGCTTCCTCTCTGGCTGCCATAGTATAAATACTCTAATTTAGTAGCATGCAGAGCAGCATGTTATAAGATCTGAGTTCAGAGAGGTCAACAGACACTTATGTTATATGCTATATATACTATATATATAGTACATTCATGTGTGTGTATGGACATACTATGAAGTGTTATATAATGCTATATACATGAAATTCATCTGAATTTTCACTGTCTGGAAGCCTCTCTCTTGGGTCTCCCGAGAATGCAGGCACTGAACAGCTTGAGAAGCACCTGATTGTTAATGACTACATACCAATTTGCAGAAGTGCACATCATTATCATATATAGATATTTATGCAAATAAAATTCATAAATTCATGTTAGTCCAGTCAGTATATTTGCCTAATTAGCTACATGTGTTAGTTTCAATCTTTCCATGGTGACAAATTAAATTAAAAGATCTTTAGCTTTAGCTTCAGCTCCAGTTTCACTGACACTGTCCAAGTAATAATTTTCATACTGACCAAACTATCTTGCATGTCTGCCTCTTTTCTACTATTTTTTTTCCCATGTCCAAGCACTTATTTTACAAAAGAGCTGACAAGCAAGGGGCAAAATGCACATGCAGTAATTTTGGAAAAAATATATGGATTTATTATTTTAGAGAGATGTTAACCACGTAACTAACAATCCTCTGCATTACACTGAATCACTAAAGCTCAGCTACATGTCTTAGCCTTTCTACTGCTGACCTCTAGAGATTGTCTCTTAACTATGTACCTTTAGAAAAATAAGGTATATTCCTGCTTTGGCCATGGCATCCAAACATGCATAGTGCTCAACATAGCAACTAAGTAAATACACTGGGCACTGTTTATGTAATAATCATATATGTATGTATAGTCATATCATTTCAATGCTCTCCTGCTTTGTATTCCATATTAAAAAAACAAAGAGAGGAAGAGAACAATTTATTTCTTTATGTGTATTTTTTAAATCAAGTGTTTGGAAAACATTTGGATCAAGATTTCTGATTTGAGTAAGTTCAAATATTTGAAAACTTGCAAAATACAAGAGGTTTTATTTCAGATCTACTCAGTGTCGATATATGTTTAGATCCAAGACTTCTGTTCAGGCACTTTGGTAAAAAAAAAAAAAAAATTAAGATAATATTTTAGCCATAAAAATAAAATATTTAGGATTTTATCTTATCAATCTTAATAAATTATCACTGACAGCAATGAAATACTGTTTATGCAGAGGCTTATTAAAGACTGCAGAATGTTATCTAAAACATTCTTCTCTTCAGTTAGGTTACCGAACGTATTCAATGAAAATTAAATTTCAAACACATACATTTCTAGTTAAGCAGAAACTATTTCTGTGCATTCCATTTACTAGTGGAAGCACACACTGAACCCTACAGTTTGTTTGGTCAGAGCCAAATGGAATCCAAATGTCATGAGATTCCAAAACTTTTGGGTTTGGATATGTTTCTGATGAGACAAAACAGTTTTCCCCCACTTCCCTTCATAGTTAGTTCTCATTTATAGTTCTCTTAAAGTCATTGTTATTGCCAGTGATGCAAAGTAGGATTAAACCCAGGCAGCTTTAGGTTTTTCAGAGTTAGGCAAATAATCTAAACTAATCATCATGGGACTTCTTCCCCGTTGAGTGGAAAGAGATGCCCACCTCCAGAGGTCAATTTCTCATCAACCCCTAATACCTCTTTGAAGATAAAATGCCTGTCTTTCTCTACTGACTAGGTAGTAAACTTGGATTAGCCACTTCACTTTAAGTGGCTAGAATCCGGATGAAATCTCCCTGTGGAATCTACAATTAACCTCATCAGTTCCCTGTACCTTGTAAATGATGTTATGACAAAAAATAGTTATTCCTATATTTTAAAATGTATGTGCTGGTTTTGCAGACAATGATAAGGCAGTAGTAATCTAAATTTGACAATGCATTTCACTAGCCTTTCAGCAATGCAAAAAACCAATGTAATCTGGAAAGTCAACAGCATCAAGTGTAGGCTGAGAAATAATCCTCTAACCTCTTTATTCTCATAGACATGAATAAAGAGTGGTTTGAGCACAAAATATCCTTTCAAAGCTTTATATTTCTCATGCAGTGCCCTGAGTTAGCACTGATAATGTTCGTGGATATCTTGTTCAGACTTGTTCAGACTGAGTAACACAATATGTCGACTGAGAAATCCTGCTGTAGCTAAGAACATTTGATGTATTCAAATTGTCTTTTTTCAGAGTATGTATAGCAATATTTCTATCCATCTGAAAGGAGACTTTGAAAAAAGCAAGATAACTTAATATTGTACAAATTTAATGGCTACCATTATATTTTATTATGTAGTTAATGATGGACAAGGTATTTTATCAATGAAGAGATAAGATTCAGATTTCTTGTATCAGTGAGATAAGTCAGAGGGTAAGATATCTATCCTGAAAAGCTGATAATATGATCTGAGCCTCATGCTCCTGGAAATTTATTAATGTGATATCTATTCAACTGGCAAATTGTTGTTGGTGTGCTTCCTGGAACAGACACAAAACAATGAACTGCTCAAGCCCATTACATTATCATAGCTAATAGTAGCTTTCTGTTTGCTGATCCAGCTAGCGCAGAATTATAGCCTTTACAGTTTCAAAGAAACCACAGCCTATTAGTAGCAATTAATTGGCTCTATAAACACTTCCAAAATGGACTTATTGAACAGCATGAAGATAAGTGAAAGTTCTCTGCCTCATTTGCTTTTTTTCCCCTATAGTTTATATTAGATGTTTTTGCATTCCAGTCCTCTCACAGGATGGATAATTGAAAACATCATCCCTACATGGGAGCAATTTCCGCTGCTGGAAATGTTAACAAAAAGGAAATTTTAGGAAGCCCAGACGCCATCAGAGCTTTGCAGTGTCTAGCAGACCTTTGGGAAATGTTGCCTGAGCTCAGTTTAAATGAGGAAATATTTCAGTTTTAGTGAAAAAGACATGACCACTTGTGCGTGGCAGTTTTTGGCAGGCAGCTGGGCTTCATAAATGTCGTACTTAAAAAAAAAAAAAAAAGCAGCATAGGTGTAGAGTACAACTTCTGATCCACACAGAAACCACAGGTGTCAATTCTCTCATGCGCTAGCTCTGACTAAAGTTTGCAGCTTAACAAAACTCCACAAAACAACAGTAGCATTTTCTTTAACAGGAGGACAGCAGGTGATGTTTAAATATCCTTACCGGCATGGCCTGCGGAGGAGTCAAACTGGATCTCGGGAGCCGTGCTTTCTGCATGTGTAGAAGATGCCGGTAGTCTCAGAACAAGTTGATCCATGTCGCTTCCCGCTGGTTGCTGCTGATCAGACCCAGCAGAGCTGAGGACTAGAAGAGGTTTGCTCTGCTGCCCAACTCCCTCCTTGTGGAAGCTGTGGTACTTTCGATTCTCCTCTCCAAAATGGGGACTAAAAGTCTCAAAGGATCGGCCCTGCTTGTCAGCTGTTTTCTCCCGGGGCTTCGAATTTTTCTGAGAAAAAGTGCCACCCACCTTGCCACTGTAACTGGGCCCATAATCAGGCAGAGGACCTTCACTCAGCAGGTTCTTCAACTCTTGCAAACTTCGTTTAGAAATGTCAGGTGCCCCTGTGAAGGACTCTGCAGTACTGCTTCCTTGTGTGGTTACAGTACTGCCCAGGGAGCCCGCCTTTGTCATGTGAAACTTGACATCTTTTTCTGCCATCTCACCCTGTTCTTCTTGCTTACTCTCTGCCTTCTCACTGCCATCTCCCCTGCCTGCTGCCTCTGCGCAGCCAGCTTTCCTTGCGCTCCTCGCGGGTTGCACACCCATGGGCAGCTCCGTTTTAGCTGGTGTATCTATTTCCTCGTGCATCTTTCCTATTACTCTTTTCCCAGTGTCAGCATTTTCCTGGATTTCTCGTGTTTCTCCAGACATGTCTTCTTTCACACCGCTGCCACTATGGGAGCTGTCACGACCCGCTCTGTCCTTTTGTACTGGAGGAAAGCTAGTCGGGTTTTGAAGAGGCTGGTCTGATGGTGGTTCTGAGCAATAAGTGGTTGCTCGAAGGGGACAAGGTTCTGGGATTTTTGAGGTGTGGGACAGCTCCATCTTCTCATTTTCTAAAGAAGGAACATACTTCGTAGGACCTTTGACTCCTTTTTTCCTTCTGAAACCACATATATTGTTGCCATCAACTTCATCATTGTCACTTTCAGATGTGTTCTGTAACCAGCAATAAGATATACAACCAAATAACATGCATGAATGAAACAGAACATGGCAATGGAGTACTACCACCAGCTGCATTTACCTTGTAGCACTTCCATTACTTCTTGCTGATGGAGGGCTCTGTAGACATTTACTGACCCTCAAATTCTGCTATTTTGATAAAAACAATTCTCACAGAATTCTTTTTCTTATGTTTTAGAACAAAATTGGTGAAAATGCCTTCATAATATAGTTTTTAGGCAGATTTAGTAGATTAAAATATAAGACATTGTACACTGTGTGACATCATTTGTCAAACGTGCCCTTTAAATGTGAAAAAAATGTATTTTAATAATTACATTTAAGTATATTCTGGCTCATATTAAAAGCATTTGTATTTATAAAGGAAATTTATTGCCCTGAAACACAAAACACTGGCAAACCTTATAAGTATGGGGAGTGAAACCTGAAAATAAACAGCTTTTAAATTAATTTCAGGATCTAATTTGGCCAAATAACTGAACTTCCAGGGCAGTAGTCAAAAGAACAAACCCATATTTGGATGTGTAAATAGGAAAGAACCAGATGATGTTTACCTTTATATATGGTATTGATATGACTTATAATGTGGTGCTGAGAGCAGATTTTAAAATGGATGTAAACATGTGGAGAAGGTGCAAAAAGGAGCTGCTACAAAAATTAATCTGCTTGCATTATCCCAAAGAATATCAAGAAGTGTCTGGATCATCATCCCTCCTAAGTATCTGATCCTACTACAAGTGTGATTAATCTGATGGTGACAGGGAAAAGGACAGAAAATCAAAACCAGAGAAATTCAAATTTAAAAATAGCAGAGATTTTAATATTGTGGGTGATTAATTATTCCACAAACTATCAAGGTAGGGATAGAATTCTCCATCTCACAATGTCTTAAAAAAGACTCCATAATACGGTTTAACCAAAACATAAATCACTCCATAGCCAATCACAAACTGTTATATTGCTTATGAATACCTACTCAAGCATGTATTTAAGACTCGGTAGCTTAACCAACAGTCCTTGGTTTGCTTGTGCTGGGCTGGAATTAACACTCATAAAAACACTGGGAAATCAAAAGATATCCTCTGAATGAGACCGTTCCTTACCTTTTCCACAAAGGAATAATCTGCACTCTCTCCAATTTCTGAATTTCCAGAAGAAGTGGGGATCTGCACAAAAGCAAAGTGAATGCCAGTCTGGGTAAGGCAAAAGAGATTCCTGTTGGCAGACAAAAGCACGTAGAAGACAAGGCAGCAGCGTCTGATGTGCATATGGAAGGAAACAGTTACATGGCCTCCATTAAGGTCATTAACACCTCCCTTTTTCTATATTATTCCTCCCTATCTTCCCTATTTTCTCATTATGCTATTTTCCATCATTATCTAGTCAAAAAAGGCTTATGACTTCTCTTCTAACACAGAGCTCACAGAAATATTTCCTTCCTCTCTCCCCCTTACTCTAAATTTCTGCGACGTGCTGTACTTACCGCTACTTTGGGAGCTCGCCGGGACATTGCTGTCAGCGTGGAAGGCAGCTGGCTGCCAGCTCCATAGGGAGGACAAGCCACTCCATGCCTGTAACTCCCATGCACATGTCTCGACAGTGACGTGCTTGTGATGCCCACTTGCAATCAAACACAGTTACTGGCTGATTCACAACAGAAATCCTTGCTTACCTCAGTTTTAACACTCAGTTTTTAATGAATCCATTTCTTCATCAAAAGGCTTTGGTTTATTCCCATAATACACCTTATAATACCTCATAAGATAATTCTGAGTGTATTGCTGATACCTCTACACCCATGCAGAATAGGCCTAATTCCTATAGCTCTGCAGCGTTATGGAATATAAATGTAAAGAAGGAACATTCCTGAATAACGAAGCAGGCAAAACCAACTTACAATGGAGAATTATAATGGGGGATTTTAAAATCTCCATTAGTAATACAAGAAAGTGAATGAAGCTGGGGGAGAAACAGTAGGGGTAGAGGAACCAGTGTTTTCCAAATGGAAAAACCCAAGTAATTTTGAAATAAAAGAGGCATCAAGTTAAATTTCTAGACGAATAAAATTATTTTCTGAGAGAAAGGAGAGAAGAGTTCCAGCTATGAAAGCTATAGTCGTAAAAAGATTGTATTTTCTAATGAATTTATGAAAAACATTTACTTAAATATCTTTTGTGGCAGAGGTTGCCATCATTAAAACATCCTGATTTCCACTTTATGAAGTTTTCAGAATTCTTTTGTTTCCTTTGAATACCTTGAAGCCAGTGACATAATCATAACACTATCTGCATTTCTGCTTTATAATGTATTCCCACACTCTGTGCTCGAAGACAACCATTGCAAATTTTAATGTTAGACTAAATTCTTGCCTGTTGTTCCTATTGTAGATCTCTGAAAAATGTTCAGCATAATGTCTGAAGGAAAGATGAGCACATCCTTTTGCGTAACACCTACATACTGAAATCAGACAGAGTTTACATATCAAAAGCAAAACATCAGAAAACTGCCTGTTGCCATAATTAGCCATTCTAAATGGTTTCATGAACAGAAGGTATCATCTCCACATTATAAACCTTACCAAAACAAATTCCTTCTGAACAGAGATGAGCAGGATAAGGACTGACCACTTGTAAATTTGTTAATGGAAACATTTGTTTGCAATAGAACTCTAATAACTAATGTGGTTATAGTACTCCACAAAAGGTTTATTTTCCATAAAGAAATTGAGAGTATGGTACTGCGTTTTGATCATAGACCTGAAAGAGATACTGCACCCATTGCTCTTAAACAAAAACAGTTATAATTTTTACCTTCAAATAAAATAAAAACTTTTATAGAGAGCAACCTATGCATTACTTAAGATCCTCAGCACAAGGTACACTGTGACTTTCTGCATGAGAATGACTCTTTATTTCTAAATAAACTCAGACATTTATGGACTTTCATTTATAAGTCATTCACAGTATTTTCTGCAGTGAATTAAACAGTGCTGGATTTGTTGCAAGGTACAAATACAACATCCCTTCATATTAGAGACAGTCATATGCATGAGTTATGACACAGCCTTACTGTCTATGAGTTCATGTGGTCTTTGCCATCAGAAAAGGCCTAGTATTTGGGCACAGAGGAGAGAGAACCCAGGAAACAGGACTTAAAAAATATCTCTTTAACTTCTTATTTCTAGCAAGTTTTGTTTACAGAAGACAGGGATAGTTAAGTAAAATGGCAGCTTGAAAGAGTTATGGTGCAAGTGAGCTGGATACGGATCATGACTTAATTTCATGGAACCATGTGTCCTGCTGTGCTGAAAGGAAAGCAAAACCATCATGGAATTAATATGGCAAAAGTTCTGATTATTTTTTATTTCATTGCTGAATATTCTGACATTTTTGTTGCTGTGTGGCAACAGTAAAAGGAGATACTAAAGCTACTTGAAAGTTCTTTTAGCCAGCATTTGTTTCAGTATCATTCAATTTTTGTTTGTTTGTTTTCAGATATTTACCGGCACTCTATCAGAGGTCTTGAAAGTTTCAAAATTTGCTTCTCTTTCTTACCAAGTGAACACTCGGGTGGTGAGTCAAATATTCTTGCCGGAAAGATTAGGTCCAAAATATAAACAGCGTGGGCCACATTATACCACAAATCTGAGATTTAGATTTTCTTTCTAAAAGATGTATCTGATGTTAACCAGCATTGATAGGTATTGGTACTCCCCCAAGTTCTGATTTCCACCAGGACTTCTTGCCCCAATGCTGCAACTCGTGCTGGTACACCCATCCCCTCTGCACTGGGGGTTTGCACCTGGTAAGGTTTCAGTAGAGGAAGACCAGCGCAAGTCCTACAACAGGCAGGAAGAGTAGGGGTGGATCAGACTTCATTTCCCATTATGGATAATCTCAACTCATACAAATAAGGGCTTTGCTTGTCTTTGCTAGATACCTACTGTAACACTTTGGGTACACAAAAGTCTGGACGTCTGTGACTATCAACAGAGCGTAAGGGCTACACTTGTGCATTACAACAGCATATTAAGGGCATCGTGCAGGTAGGAAGAGGAGAGAATAGAGGACAGTATCAGCAAGCAAATATTTCAGCACAGTGCAGATGAAATTGCTTCCTCTACTTAACCCAATTACATGCCACTTCTGGCATGCCATCAGGCTTCTACAGGTGATAGACATTTTATATCTTGTGGTAACACAGAAAACATACATCTAAAGCAATTTTTCTTAATCAGTTTGTGTTCACTTTTAGGCTTTGTACAAGCTCTGAAGTGGAACATGAACTGTACTATGAAATACAGCACTGCCAAAAGGCAGTTCATCTGTAAACCTGCCGATTGGCAAGCTGAGAACCTTTGGAAATGTAAAGTGTTGCCTTTGGGAGGAATAATAAGTGCTGAGATTTCTGGTGTGTGAAACAGGTGAAAATCCAAAGGCAATTCTTGAACTTTTGCCTTAAAATGATTTTATAGGTGACTGAAAATATATCTGTAATGTTCTATGAAACAAATTCAGAGCTGCAGAGGGGACCTTCTATTTTTCTCCTACTTTTTGTTTGCTTCATGACTTCAGACAAGATTGCAAATGCTATTGGGGGTTTATAAATGTATTGACAGAAAGAGGGAAATGAGAAAGAGAAACCTCACACTGTAGCATTTGAAAGGAAAAAAAGGGAGTAAGGGAGTTAGTTTAAAAGATGCTCTGAGTAACTGTAGATGAATAGCTGCAGAATGACTTCTATCACAGAAAAAGGTGAAAGCGGCAAGGTGCAACTCTAGCAGGAGCTTTTATATATCTAATCAACAAGATAACCCAATGTTCCTGCTACTGGCTACCCAAAAAAAAGTGATGCAGCCACTCAGCAAAACGCACTGGGGTCCCAGTCACATTCTTGTTTTCTCTTTTGTTTCAGATCATTAACCAACTTTAGCCATTATTTTAAATGATTGTTAAGAGGTCAAATTGTGATGATCTTCCTGAGTTGTTGCTGAAGATTCTTCAAGAACAAAAAATTAATTTTGCAAAGAATGTCAAAATATCAAAATCTGGTATAACTAAGAATTAGAAAAATATGGGAAACTAAAAAAATCCTTCTAAACAGAAAAGTCAAAAATGTGTATGGTTTGGTTGGCTGAATTTTTTATTTATGAAAAGTTAAACTGCTTCACTTAGGTTTGACTTTGGTTTTTCTAACATATAAAAAAATGTTGAAAAACTGAAATGAAATGTTTCCAACCTAAAAAATCTAAAAATATTGTTCAAATTATGTTGACATGTGATACTATTCACATTGTTACTTTCAAAAGTAACACAGTTTCTCAAGGTATTTCAATTGCTATGAAATTGTAAATGCTGAGGAACTTTCTCTGAGCCACTTTGGCTGTTACCAGGTTACCCTTTACAGCTTCCCTAGGTTGGTACAATCAAGTTTAATTAATCTTTTCATGTGGTAATGAATCTCAAAAACTAGAAGTCAGGTCTTCACAAGAGTTGCTGCTTAAGATGCTAGACAACAATGCCCATAAAGCAAGCATGCCGATGCCCAAGCGCTTTCTCTGCCCCTTCCCCTGACAGATGGAAAGCATTGCCCAGCTGCTCCCTCAGTAACCAGGCAGCGAAGGAGCAGAGGACGCAGGAACAAATTTTCTACTGCTGGGAATTAATGCAGCGTCACTGGAGTCACTGGAGCTACACAGATTTGTAGCAGGAGGTAGTCTGGCCCATGGAGTCATAGGGAGGACAACACAGCTATTTCCATGGAGTAGCTCCAGGCACAGAGAGGGGTTTTGGCTTTTGTGCGCAGTGCTAAAACAATGTGCGCTACGATAAACAGATACCGGTGGCTTGTAAGCTAGAGACATGAAGATCACAGCACATTGTCAAGATATTGCTGTGACTAATTTCTCCCTCAGTGACCTTGTTTAATGAAGTGGTTCTTTGAGAGTGATTTACTGCTACAAAAACCTCCCAGTGAAGGACCTGCAAGTGGCATAAATATTAGGTACATGTGATTATTTTGCAGTTAGAGAAGCTGAAGCACAAACTTGCTGTAGGTCACAGGAAGATGTGTGGTAATGTTAGGAGCAGAAGCAAAGTCTCCTTCCTTCTTTGAAACTTTTAAATATACTCAAGATTATTGACGTACTTCATGTGAAAATGAATGGAATAAGTTTAGCTCACAACATTGTGTCACTTATTTTCACATCTGACATCTGCCTTTATCTGCTACTCCCATCCAAAGCCTTCATACTATGTACGCAATTATTAGATGAGCTCTTCAAGGTTATTGATTCTCCTGTTGCCTCAAAGCAGCAGAGTTCTCCTTGTGGCAAGGTTATTTGCAAATACTTTCCCTTGGACTATGCCACCTGCACCATGTAAAAAAAAAATCCCTAAAGTAAGATAGAATCTCAAAATGAAGAAGCTGATCCTGCCTTCACAGTGATTTGGGGCCACAAAAGTACACTGGTGGTGTCATCTCCAATTTGCAGCGGTGTAAATGAGATCTAAAAGCAGGGTCCATTTAACAGTTGACTAATCCTCAGGAAGACATTTGCAAGGGAATGGACTTAATGATCTACAAGACTTTTATGTCTAATTTCTATGACTCATTTCATATACAAAGATGGTCTGGGAGGCAGTCAGTGACTCAGAGTAGGTGCATCTCTGGCATATAAAGTATCCATTTGTTCACCTTGATAAACATGTCTAGTAACCTCAGGAAATCTGCCTGCACCATCACTTCCAAGCCACATTACATCTTTCTCAATATTTTTAATGAAACATTTTAATTTCACGTTTTCACAATGAGATCTTCTGGACACTACTCAAAATAATAGGTACACTTTTTTTTTTTACTTTATTGAAAGTATATATTACAACTTCAGGACCAGAATCTGTTTTAAAATACACTCATAAAGAAACTAGCAACTCCACTTAGGTCAGTAGCCTGACTCAAGAGTGTCACTTTCTAATTCAGGTCAGACTCTGGTCCACAAATTGTACTGCTTTCATTCACATTAATGAAGCCAATCTGTTTTCCCACAAATATTAATGGGATTTTAGACCTCTATTTCTGTTACTTTTGATAGAATTATAAATGAAAGACATAGTTAAAATGTGTTAGATTTGCTTCCTAAAGCAAATGGGGTTTTTTTGGCTCAAACAAGAAGCCTTTCTTTGACCTGCATTTGCTTCAAAATTAGACCATGCTCAACATACATGCATGAAGAGCCTTGCACACAATCCACAATAAATATTCACTCACTTGAAATCTTGAAGTGGATGCAAAAAGTATTTTATGTCAGCGTATCTGGTCAGAGATCATTCACAATCAGTCTCTTACCTGCTGAGTAAGATCTTCTTTTTTGTTCATGTCCACTTCATTCTGGTTCAGGTCACCATTAGAAATGGACTAGTAAATATCTAGTAGAAAGACATCCCGTATTTATAGGCACAGATACAATAAAGGTTAGTTAAAACAGAATTGCTGTAAAGTTCTTTTCCCAGAAAGCCACGCAGATGATGAACCATAAAGAGCAAGCCCAACGTGTCACGGCCAAGAGCACCACTTTCTGGAACAGCGTTAAAGTAGTAAACTGACAAATGCACATTACTAGCTGCCTGCCTGCCTGGAAACAAAGACAACTGAGTATAAAAATGTTTTGCTCAACTTTTCTCCTCACAAAAGGCTTTTGTCCTGTAACAAGCCATTTCTGTTCTGGAATAGAAGCTATTGTTAGGCTCCTTCGAGGTAAAACCTATATTGGGCATTATAACAACAGTACGTTATTGAGGCACATGGACAGGGATTTGAAAGGCACAGCACATTGCAAGAACAACATGCAGTACTAGCCTGTTATTCTAGGTGCTTGTATGTTGTTAATTAATATTGGTGGATCTGGTTGTATTAGAATTGGGTGGAGGGGTCTTTTTTTGCATTAGGTCTCTAAAAATATTTCAGAGATTAGATAGTTAAGCTTGTCTTTCTTATGCTTTTTTATTTATCAGGTTTAACATGAATTAAAGGACTGTGTTTAACTGACACTTCATTCATTCAAGTTCCTTTAGGTGACATAACATTACAGGATGAGCATATCGTGTATGGTTACAGCAGCCCTTCCCGACAACTGGTCACTCAATAAACTCAAGTAAGCATTCTATTAAGAATGGCATTTAACCTTGCAAAAATGCAGGTTTGGCAATTTTTTACACTTCTAAAAAATAAAAAATTTTAAAAATTGAGTTTGTTAAAATTACCCCATCAAAATAATGACTAGGGTTTAGGAGCTATAGTTCACAAAAATCTTAGGCATCTCCAGTGAAATTAAAAAATACAGGTGCCCTAGTTCTAAACTATGATTCTGAAAATCCTTCCTCATCTTGGAGGCACTGAAAGGCCACAGCTCCTAACTTTGTGACCCCATCTGCACAATTTCTATAACTGCCCCACTTGTCTCAGAGCAGAGCAGGCAACTACTGGAAGTTTATTAGTATTCAAGAAATGGGCTTACTTACAAGACTTGACATTTTGTCATGCAGACATTAAAAAAAATCAACACCCAGCACACTCTATAGGACTGGGCTCCTGCAAGACAGATAGGATGGAAGTCAGCATTTTGCTTGCAGAATACTTTTTCCAAAAAAGTTGCCCTCAGACTGTCATCACGCAACAGTTAGCACAATTGCGCAGATCCCTTTTTTACGCAATGTACAGGTGTCATAGAACTATAGCTTGCTGTGGCAGAGTTGCTTGTCAGTCTACGTTGTGATGAGCTGTGCCAAGAGGAGAACAATTCTGAGCAGGACTACTCAGACCAAATAGTCTGAGAAGCAGAGGCCAGGCAGAAACAAGCCTTCTGGCTCTCCATTTTTTCCATTTTGAATGCAAGCCTGAACAACCTCAGCTCATATTTTGAAAAAGACACACTTCAGGTTAAAAATCTCATTCGTCAAAGCAAGAAAAATATTCCTCACAACAAGCGTGGTCAAACACTGGCACAGGTTGTGTGGGATCTCCATCCTTGGAGATATTCAGAACTTGACTGTACAAGGCCCTGAGTAACCTGATACAACTTCAAATTTGAACCTGATTTAAGTGGCAGATCAAACCTGATGACTACCACAGATGCTATCCAGCCTAAGTTAGTCTATAATTGTATATCTGACTCATTTATACATATTTTTTATGAACTTCATTACATTTTTGCAAGTACAAAACATTTTTACCATACCTTGTATTCTGTTCTACTCTGTTCTGCTAAACAGAACATAAAGACAAGAAAGAACAACTTGTGCCTTAAAGAGTGTAGTTTTTGTGGCACCAGTCCGGCAAACACCATTGGTGATGAATAGTCTTTTCATTAGGACTGGAAGGATCAGCTATTTCCATCTCAAGTGCCTATTAGATCCTCCTGAAAACAGTGTTGTTTTGTTTCATTTCATTTTCTGGACAGAGTGAAAGAGAAAAGGGAGAGGGTTCTCTATGAACACGTGCCTGCGAGAGGCTGCTGGTTTCAGTAGAACTGTGCTGCTTAAAGAAGCTGAGAATCTGATCCAGAAGCTGGTGGAAGCCCATTTCACATCTACCACAATACACAGACTACTGCAAAGAGCACAGTTTGTTCAGTAATACTCATCGTCTTCCCGCCTTTGGCGAATAAGATAAATCAGGCCAAATCTACTGTATCTGCATGAGGAATATCCTGGCTTTTACTTATGGATACAGAAAGACATTTTCTTTCTGAAGTAAGAAAGCTTTTGCAAAAACCTACTTTCACATGGATGTGGGAGTATCGCTTCATAAAAACAAACCTCTCTACAGTCTTTCTCCAAAAAATGCCCCAGAGAGGAAGGCATCCTAAGAGGAAGAAGTATTCTGTTAGTATCCAATAGGGAGGAGGGAAGATAGGGATCATGTTTATTTTATATTTATCATTGAATTCCACGTGAGAGGCATTTCTGTAAAAGGTAAGTGTATTATAAGATTGTCGTGGTTTAACCCCAGCTGGCCACTGAGCACCACGCAGCCGCTCGCTCACTGCCCCCCGGGTGGGATGGGGGAGAGAATCAGAAGGGTAAAAGTGAGAAAACTCATGGGTTGAGATAAAGACAGTTTAATAGGGAAAGCAAAAGCCACTCACGCAAGCAAAGCAAACTAAGGAATTCATTCACTACTTCCCATCGGCAGGCAGGTGTTCAGCCATCTCCAGGAAAGCAGGGCTCAATCACGCGTAACGTTACTTGGGAAGACAAACGCCATCACTCCGAACGTCCCCCCCTTCTTCTTCTTTGCCCAGCCTTGTATGCTGAGCATGACGTCATATGGTATGGAATAGCCCATTGGCCAGCTGGGCCAGCCGTCCTAGCCACGCTCCCTCCCAGCCCCCCGCACACCTGGCAGAGCACGGGAAGATGAAAAGTCCTTGACTAGCATAAACATTACTTAGCAACAACTAAAACATCAGTGTGTTATCAACATTATTCTCATACTACATCCAAAACACAGCACTATACTAGTTAATAGGAAGAAAATCAACTCCATCCCAGCCAAAACCTGGTCAAAGGTACAAAAAAGTTTATAATTGTACAGAAGTCTTTTATAACTATACTTAGCTGTGCCCGGAGTGAATGGCCATTGTTAAATGAGGCAACAGCTTCCAGTATCAAGATGCAAAGTTAATAAGCCTAGAAAATTAAGGTGGACAGAAGATTTTGGTGTTGACCACCAAAGAAAGGGTCAAAGAGTATGGACTAATGACTGTTGCTTGATCAGAGAAGCACCTGCGAGAAACATCTGCACCACTCCCATCCCACTGACCTTGGTTCCTGGCAAATGGATGGGCTGGAGCAAACCTGCCTCTCAGGCTCTTCCTCTTTCAGCTGCTTGTCCCATCTTCCCTCCCCTCCTCCTTTTCCACTTGATTACAGAAGCACCTTTTCCAGTCGTTAATCCCTTCAGGTAGGTGTAGCAAAATTTAGTTTGTCTTCCTTGCTAAGAAGCCTTGAGATGGTTTCAATATTAACATTAGCATACCTGTGTGCTAAAAATGTTTTTTTCCAGCTTATACTGGCTACAAAATTGTATTTAACATCATTATTAGTAAACTCAGTTCCTCAAGGGTGTGTATCATGTAGTCTAATATTTTGATAGCTATATGTTCTTTGTAGCATCACTGGAAAGGGAGCCTCAGAAGAACAGCCCATAAGGGTGTTTCCTGGAGGAGAAGCAGAGATTTACACAAAATGATCCCTTTCTTTCAGAATGTAGAACTGATTTCATGAGTTTGCATAATTACTTAACTGAAATATGCTGTGCTTCAGCCACAGTTTATCAAATACTAATCTAAAAACCTAGACATTTCGGAAATATGACACAGACCAAACATCACAAAAGTGATCACTTAATACTTTAACTACAGATACTTTGTATGCACTGTCTATGATGAATAAGTGGTAATGAGAAAGTACAAACTGCTCATTATCCCATTAGCGGCTCTTCAGCAGCTAAAAAAGAGATACAGCTTCTGTGATGACAGCTAGTGCGGCAAATAACTGCCAATTCAGGGGAGCTCTCTGCTGGCGAGCTGCCAGCAACCTTCATACACACAACTTCACCATCATCGTGGCTTAGAACTACTTCTGATTCCAGCTACTGATGTCAGGGGTTTTTTCATGTTTCATGTATTTTCCAAAAAAGAGGTTAAAATTATCACTGCTTATACTGTCCTCCCGTTCAAATTGGTTTTCCAGAGGGGGAAATTTCTATATACTCTGAATTAGAATCATTTTAAGCAGCAAAGAATCAGGCCTCAGGGCATCTACCAGGAAACTTTGTTTTCTCCTCACTAGTGTAGGTTACCTTCAGCTGTTAATTTCCATGGATCACCTGAAATGCCTAAATTGTTCAAAAGAAACTTTAGAGGATACAGATTTTGTGTCTGGGATAGGTCTTGCCTAGTGCCTAATGCTTCTCAGGTTGGAGGAAGGGAGGATTACATCCTGTCATCTACTCATAGGCATGGAAAATTTCTCGGAATAATCTTATCACTTTCTTTTATCACCTAAATTTTATGGGATGCAGCTACTCCCACTTCTGATCCTGTCAGCCATGCCAAAAGACACCTATCCACTTTGACTGGCTTCAAAAGTAGTCTTCTCCTTAAAGACAGCTAAAGTAGGTAACAGAGGTTAACAGAGGAAACAGTTCAAATCGAAAATTGTTCCCTCCAATTTCAGAAGCTTTAAAAAGAAAAGGCCTTTTAGAGACTTACAGTATTCTTATAACACGGAGAGATTTCCAAACTGGTGCCAGCTGGCTAGAGCCAGCTAACATCCATACTACAAATACTGTACGGATATACAAGATAAGATGTA